GCGGGAGCGCCACCGCGCTCCCAAGTGGCGCACTGTAGCAGTGCGCCACCAGGCCGGCCCTATATTACCATTTTAAAATTACATAAATTTTAAAATAACCAGTTGCACCAGTGTTTTTTTTCCAGTGTAATTTGGTTGTGACACATGGTACAGCTCTGTATCCCTGACTCCACCTTTTTTCTATTTTCCTCTGACCAACCAAGTTAGAACCAAGAGATCCTTTTCATTCGTGAAAGAAAGTTATTTTGGAGAAACAATTCACCTATAAATGGCTGTTTACTTTTTTCTCATAAGTATAAGCAAAGATTGTGTCCTCTGACTCCAGATACTAGAAAACAAAATGCTTTCATTCATTTTATTTTATTTTTCTACTTAAGGTTATGGATCGCCCTGGAAATTACGTAGAACCAACAATTGTGACAGGTCTTGCCCATGATGCATCCATTGTGCACACAGAGACTTTTGCTCCGATTCTCTATGTCTTTAAATTCAAGGTAAAAATGGATTCTGTTTCTCTTTAATCTAATGTTGAAATAAGTGGTAAGACTAGAGGAAAATGAAGGTGTATTAAATTTCACTCAATTAGGTTTTAGGAAGGTTTTAGAAAGTCACTCTGAATAGTAGAAATTTGAAGGTTTAGGATAAAATATGATGAGATAAACAATTTAAAACTATAAAGTGTGCCAAGCCAGCTGCCAGAGAAACCGAGGTGGGTAGTGGACCAGTGTTGGAGTTGATGGAGTANTTTTACTTTTTAAATATTGAATCTTTGGTTTCCTTTTGTGCACTAAAATTATACTTGTAAATCTCATGAAATGAGTGTTTTGGGTTTTTTTAAATAAGATTTTATGTACCCTTAGTTATTTTTGCATTCTTTATTTTTTTTGGCAGCTGGCCGGTGCTGGGATCTGAGCCCTTGACCTTGGTGTCATAACACAGCACTGTAACGAACTGTGCTAACTGGCCAGCTACAGGAAATGAGTTTGACATTAGTGAACTTTGACCTGAGCACTGTAATATCTAACAACTTCCAACCTCTGTCCTTTCAGAATGAAGATGAGGTCTTTGCATGGAATAATGAAGTGAAACAGGGACTTTCAAGTAGCATCTTTACCAAAGATTTGGGCAGAATTTTCCGCTGGCTTGGGTATAAATTTATTTGCCTATTTTGAAAATTTATGTAAGTCTGATTTGTGTGGTGAGTAGACTTTAAAAACAAATGAACCCATTGTAGTGGAAAATCTACTTTTCAGCATTGAGAGTCTGTGTTTTGGGGTTTTTAAAATGTATTTGTTTTTGTTTATTTGTTNCTCCTGAACACAGTGACTGGATGGTTGGAGAGCCTGAGTGCTGCATGTGTCAGCAGACAAAATGAGAAGATGTGGGGGCAGTCTAAAGACATACAGTTATAAAGTGCATCAGAGGACAGGCTGTGGAGGTTTTAACAGGTGGAGATAATTAGGTGTTTTATTCCCTAGCATGGGACACAGGTCCTAACCTTGCCAGAAATATTTAGGATTAGTTTTGAGATTATGGAGATTGAATCAAGTTTTAAATGTGCCATTATTAACCAACAAGGTGCAGTTCTAACTATTATGTGACTCTTTCTTTATATCTTGCTTTAAGTTGTCTATTGCTGTTTTAGATATGATGACTAGAGAGTATAATTTTATGTTTTGTTACGTGTTTGTATGTATGACTATGAGCTCTTGAGCAGATTATTGAGCCTCTCCAGGCCTCCGTTGCCTAATTTGTGAATGGGGATGGTATAAAACCTGTGTCATAGGGTGGGGATTAAATAGCTAAATACATGTTAAGTGGTTGGATCAAT